GGAGGTTATATGTAGATCCTTATAATCAGTTCCCCATTTCCAATCCACCCTCCTTCCACCCTCCTGGTATCGCCACTCTCAGCACTGGTCCTGAAGGGATCATCTGTCTTGGATTCCCTGTGTTTCCAGTTCCTATCTGTACCAGTGTACATCCTCTGGTCTAGCTGGATTTGTCAGGTAGAACTGTATATCTGATGTATTTGTAGTAAATATTTTCCCCAATATGTGGGTTCTCTTTTAACTCTTTTTGATGGAGTCTTTTGATGTACACAAACGTCATATCTTCAGCAGGTCTCGGGCCTTTATTTTGCCTTTTTTGTGGTGGTGGTTAAGTGAAAGTTTACTTTTATATAGCAACTAGAGGAGAGTAGTTTCCCATCCTCTTTGAAATGGACAAAAGTTCTAAAATTTCAACCAGATGAACGTAATTTTTATTTATTTTGTCTTCTACAGTGTGGGTACTTTTCATTGTGGTTGGCAGTGTGTTTAGGACCGCTAAATTTGTCCCTATTTTTTCATCGGTGATCTCAATGATTATGTGGTTTTTATTCGGGTCTCTGATCCATCTGGAGTTCACTTTCGTACATGCTGTGGGAGACTTTGAAACCGGAAGTGGAGTGCGTGGGGAAGAAGAAGGTCACAAATCAGAGGCTGGAGGGAACGGATCTCGGGTTTAGGAAAAGGAGACATTCAGGAAGGCAGGGGGTGAGGTACTGTGGTTTTCACAATCACACATGGAAGCAAACCCGTGGACACTTGGAGTACATCGCTGATGCGCCAGCTGTCTTTCAAAATCATCTTCCCTGGATCCTTCTTCCTCTTTCCCCCACTTCCCCAGGGGCAGCCTTCTCACTGAGCAAAGCCAGCACACTACCCGTGGATGGATTTTCTATCCTTTAGTGTGGGGACCAGCTTCTATGACCAAATGGGTCCAAGGGGTGGTTGTGTAATGGAAGGTTGTGTAAATTAAAGAAATATCAGACAAGGCATGCAAGGGCTCACCTCTTCCACGACAACTGGAACCAGTATTCTCTCACAGACTTATATAATCCCGGGCATGCAAGCCATGGCAATCACAGACATAACAGGAAGGGGTTGTATTAGAGGCACACATGTGACAGGAGGGCACATACGTAGCAAGATGGGCAGGCTCTAGAGTCAAGGTGGTGGCCTAATCTTGGCCATCTCTGAGCTGGCTTGACCTTGGGTCCCTGAGCTCTTCTCCAATCTATGATCCTTATCAGAAGGGTGTGGGTCAGACTTCGGGTTAGATGGTCTGACTGCTTTTGATGGCAGATAATCATTAGGCAGATAGCCTTCCTGCAGTTGACCTTCAAGAGTAGAGTAAGTAACCATGTGCTTGCAAGTAGCATCTTAAAAATGGCATTATTACCTGGGGGCGAGTTGGGGAAGGGGTATCATGGGGAATAAGTTTTATTTACGGGAATGTGACTGGGATGCATCTCCAACCCACGAACAAGAAGGCCTCCCTCCACAGGAGCCCCGGCCACCCAGCCTCATTAACATACACTCTATTCACAGTTCTCTGTTTCTCACACTTTGGGGTCTGGAGCATAGAGTCTATGCCCAGAATCTTAGCAGGCAGACTAATCTCTCTGCTGGGCTCCAGCTTGTCTCCATCTGGTTCTGGTGCCTCCTACACCTGACTTGTGCCGTCGTGTCTCCAACCCATGGAACCACATTGAGATCGGCACTGGCTGTGCCAAGCTTCAGCCAGAATCACCACCAGGATCAGCAGAACCACAGCAGCCAGGGCCATGCAGACGGAATTCTTCATGGTGCCATTCTGGGAGGTGGGGGCTGGAAGCATACAGTAGGGTCACCAACAAGTGTACAACACCCATCCCTACCCTGACTCCTGGCATAGGAGCTCCTTCCAGGCTGATGCTTGCCATGCCCTGTCTCCACCTCGCACATCCTCCTGTGCTCATCTACCTGGGAGTCTCTTTCTATGGCTGACGAGCTTCCTGAGTCCTCCTTTGACCTTTCATGGAGCACAAACGTCCTTGCACCTGTGTCTCTTGCCTCCCTTCTCCCACCACCTGCCCGGCTTGTTCCTGGACTCCAGGGTGAACTCACTCCCAGTTTTCACAGCAAGTCAACAAGAAGGCACGAGAAGGCAAAGATGCCAAATACAGCTGTTCTTTGGATCAAACTTAGTTTCCTTATCTGGAGCAAGTCATCCCACCCCTGTCTCCCACCATGCAAACAAATATGCAAACCAAAAAACCAAACCCCCTGTCACAGAGTCACCTTTGACTCATAGAAACCCTACAGAACAGAGTAGAACTGCCCCTGTGCATTTCTGAGAAGGCGATTTTCATTGGAGTAGAAAACGTCATCTTTCTCCTGAGGAGCAGCCACTGGTTTTCAAGTGCTGACCTTGAGGTCAGCAGGCCAGCTCTCAATCCACTACGCCACCAGGACTTAATGCGATATCAGTGTGCCACAATGGTCTCACCCCCAACGGAGAGAAAGCAGGACCCTGGGTCCCCACACCCCACCAGTGCCTGGAGCGGGGACCCTGAGCCATGGCTCGGCAAAAGGACCTCTTGTGTGCTCCCAACCCTGAGACAGACTCATGGAGACAAGAGACTGAAAGACAGGGAAGGAGCTGGAACACATCGCTCCAGCCTTGACCTTGCTCTGACAGAGGGGTGGGTTGCCTCTGCTCTACTGCCCCACGTCCCAGTCCCCCTAGCTCCTGGTTCAGTTGCTTTGTTGTTGCTGTTGTCCCAGAATCTGAGCATCTTGGAAAGAAATGGGAGTGAGATGGATATTGGGGCCCTCTTGCTGACAATCATTCTGCCCCAAAGATGTCAGGTCCTGGTCCTTGTTTTCTAGTCCCTGCGGAAACCCAGGGTAGAGCCTCACCCAGGAACCCCCATCAGGTCCCACGGGACAGAAGTCTGCAGCTCAACTGAAGAGTGGGGGCTCTGTGGGTGGGAGGCTAGATGCTCCACACTCTTGTGCCTGGGGAGATACATGGACTGATGGCTTACGGGGTGCTGTCAATGGCCGGCCCCACTCAACCTGGCTCTTCTGCCCCTGAACATCCACTCCTAGACCACAGGTGTGCACTATTGTAACACAGACATCAACCTGCCATGCCTGCAAATATGGGCTGGGAGTCTGGAGACAGGAGAGTCCATTCCTTCTACAAGTCTGTTGAGGGCCGATCACCCACCTTGAACCCCTATCAGATGTCTCTGGGCCCTTCCCCACCCTGAGTCCTCTGTCCAGGATGATGATCCTCTGATCCACTGTGAGACGTGAAACCCTGAACCCCGGCACCAACGAGGGAAAGACACAGGTAGGGAAGTCCGGAGAAGAGTCACCATTTTGTTCCAACAACCTTGACCTCACAGAGTCAGCGTGAGCTCTTACTGGAGGCACTGGGACAGCGTGGATTGGCTTAGAGGCTCCTCACTAGACTATGACTGCAGGACCAGACGGGAGTCTGAGCCTGTCTCACCCCACACCTTAAAACCAAACATGCCGTCACCAAGTCCATGCGGACTCATAGCAACCTCCTGTAGGTTCCTGAGACTGTAACTGCTTATGGGAGTAGAAAGCCCCGTCGTTGTCCTGGGAGTTGGTGGTGTTTTCAAACTGCTGACCATGTGGATTGCAGTCCAAGGGGTAATCACTACACCACCAGGACTCCCATCTCACGGCATGGGTTTCCCCAAACAAGGGGCCATCCAGGAACGATGTGGCGTGGTTGCATGGGAAGGATGGACCATGATACAGGGCAGCACGCTAGCTTGGGTCACAATGGCTCAGTGGAAGGCCACCCTTTGCAGAAAGAGGCACCTTCGTTTGAAGCGAGTCGGTCCTGCAACCAGTCTCTGGACAGAGGAATCGCAAGGACCTCAGCACGCACTCCCTGCTTCACCAAGCAGGACCCAGCCCTCCCTCTCCTGCTCCAGGTCCCCCGTGGGGTCCTCGCGAAACCCAGGTCTCCAGGGACGGCAGTGGTGTCTGGAGCAGAAGGAACCTGTGTGCTGAATGAGCCTGGGAGTCAGGGAGTGTGAGAGAAGGGGCCAGGGAGAAGGGCGGGGTGTCTATGGAGATACCACAGGGCAGGGGACAGAACCCAGGACCTCAGGATGAACACAGGGAGAGAGTCTGAGATGGCTGGGCCCCTGGGGTGGCGCCTCACCTGTCACCACCAGTTCCAGAAGCTCACTGCGCTCAGACCACTCGGCCCCGGTGTAATAGAGGCAGCAGTAATACCCTCCGCTGTCCTTGTTCACCGAGGTGATGGGGAACCTGGCCTCTGTGCCATTTCCTGAAGAGGCCTTCACGTATTCGTGTTGGGAGAGTCCATTCTTCTCCAGTCTGAATATATAATCCCCAGGAGGAGCACGACACACAAAAGTCACACATGTCCCCCAGGGGATCACGGAGCCTGGCACTGCTGAGATGGAGGGTCTGGTCAGGTGCCCTAGGAGGGAATCAGAAAAGACACCTCGGGGTGTGCTTGTGAGGAGATCACCATTGCACAGGTGCACCCGTGTTTAGCTGTGCAATGCGATGTCTTTAGTCAACCTACGGCACTGTGTCACCCTCACCACCATCCACCCTTAGAACCCTCCCACCAGGCCCCAGAGACCCCTCCCACGCAGTCCACAGCTTCAGAACTAGCTCCTCTAGGTGACGGTAAGGGTGCTGAGACTTGGTCAGAGCCTGGGCCTTGTCCAACGACATACAGGACGCACGGGTGTCGCTAAGCCAGGCCACATCGCAGACGTGTCTGCAGAGCCCACTTCTCACCCTGTTGGGACCATGCTCCAGGGGAGTGTCGGGGGCTGGAGACGGAGGGAGGGGGTGGTCAGCCCACTCAGGAGGATGTGCACCAAGGGGGGAGGAGCGTGAGGTTGGCAGGAGTGTGTCTAGGGCCAGGACCTGGCACAAGCTTTTTTGTGGGATGCCCAGCAGGGCCGAGGGTAATGCTCCCAGCACAGGGGGAGCTCCTCGGGGACGCCCAGCAAAGAGAGAGGCTCCCTACTTCTCGTGCAAGTCCTCTGTTGGGCAATCACCTCAGGGTTTCCTGGGCACTTTCTAGGTCCATCTGGGCCTCCTTTGCATTTCCTTGTTTCTATGTCTCTTGACAGGAGTCCCGGTGGCATAGTGGATTACACCTGGGACTGCTTACTGCGTGGTCGGTAGTTCAAACCCACCAGCCGCTCCTCTGGAGAGAGACGAGGCTATGTACTGCCGTAAAGAATGACAGCCTCAGAAACCCAAAGCAACACGTCGTCTCTGTCGTATAGGGTGACTTTGAGTCAGAACGAACTTGTTGATAGTGTGGTTTTTTGGTTGGACGCCTCTTGCTAAACCCCATCCTGTCTTATCTTGGCTGAGGAGGGCAAGGGGGAGAGGGGTTTGAAATGAGGAACCAGCAAGCTTGTGTCGAAGTTAGCAAAAGTTTGCA